CGGAATGCCAACCAAAATACATACAATCGACCAGTGGTAACAAATTAAGAAGGCATCCGTCTCGGTAAGGTAGGCCCTATAAAAGCAACGAACTATGCCGTGGGGCAAATGTCTGCAAAGTAAAAGCGGAAGATTTAAAGCAAGCAGACCAAAGCACAAATGAATAACATATGAAAGGAATTTTCGAACAGCGAAAGATAGAAGCGTAATACTATCACTAATATTTAAGGCTTAGCTTGACCAACAAGCTCCGTAACGCTAGGCGAGGGCATAGCTTCAGGCCCCCGCATGACCTCAGGAAGCTCAGGGGGCGTCGAATAAGCAGTGACTGAAGGAGGCTCAAATTTTCCTGTTACTAAAAGTGCACAAATGAGCAAAGTTAGTATAGCGAAGAACAATACGAAATAAAAATAAGGATGGATAAATGAGAATTAACTATATGAAACAATTATGTTAAGATAAAATGTCAAATTTCAAAGAGTCTAATTACCGGGATCTTTGAGAGAGAGAACGAGTGATGCCGGTGTGTGAGCACGTGCAGTTTGACTGTTCAGATTATAATATGAAAGCGATTTAGAGTCATCTAACTGAATCGTTTGTTTATACAAAACTTGATCTTCCGGTGAAACCTTTAAGATACCCTCGATCATTTTCTTAACTTCGAGTATTTGGTGGTTTTCCTTACAGTTGAGAAATATTGTGGTCGACTTGCGGCGAACCATCATGTATACATCCTAAAAAATGATAGCATTTTAATTTACAACCATAGATTTTTAAAATTATTATACAAATCTATGTAGGGGGAAACTAACCATTTCTTTGGCGGAGAGCGAAAAATGTTAGCATCAATACCAACAGCCCCTTGGGAGCTTAAGCCTACCGCCGGCTGCGACAGATATGTACTTAAAACATTATGACAATAAAAATATGATTTAGCTAAAATACTTTATATCTGAGTTAAAAAATATTTTTCCACATACGATGCCAAATATTATTTATATAGATATCACATGTCGCTGTTTCTATTATTGCATTTAGTACATAAACAAATACGAAAAATA